TTTTTTACAGTCAGAAATTGGTTGCCTAGCAACCTAGTAAAATTAAGCGTTTCTCTTTTGAATCAGTCAAGGGTTATCTTAAAATATTTATTTGCGCAGGCGACTTTTTTTGGCGGTTTTCTGGACTATCGCCAAATATATAAACCTTTATTGCAACCCAATTTACGACCCAATTGTTTTAAAATTTTGTTAAATAAATATGATTAACATTACTAGAATCCAAATATGTAAAAAAAAATATATGTTTATTCAGAGAAAGTACGTTTTTGTGTCTGATTTCGTAACTTAATTAATAGTTAGCACTAATTAATTAACATATTTGAGGTCATCCCCAGGAACCATTAAGATTGACAATTAGTTCGTGAAAATCGGATCATTAGAACGAAAGTTATTCAGGGTGATATCTTTTTTTTTTTGCGGACTGTACACTGGTGTAAGAAATTAAGAGAATTTACAGACTTGGTCGATTATCTCCAGAACTACTGGACTGATTTTAATGAAATTTGATCTGTACATACATTGATACAATACAAAACAAATAACCATTCAACAATTGTAATACACACTCATGATCGTGCTAAACACTAGTTGGAGTCAGAAAATATGAAGCAGCGGTTGTAGAATAAACAAAAAATGAGTTAAATAAGAGGTATGGTCCTCTCTTACAGATATACAGGCTTTGCAGTGTGATTTCATACTTGATATAAGGCAGTTTATCATTTCCTGTGGCAATTGGCTTAAATTGCCTGTGAGAATTTTATACCTTCTGGATCCAACGACGGTTACGCATGATTATACTTTTGTGTATTACAATTGCTGAATGGTTATTTGTTTTGTATTGTATCAATATATGTACAGATCAAATTTCATCAGAATCGATCCAGTAGTTCTAGAGATAATCGACCAAGTCTGCAAATTCTCTTATACTTTTGTTGCAATGGTTATACTTCCATTGTCACCTCGTATTTTTAAATCTGCTACCCAAAGAATGGCATTTTGTTGTGTTTTCAGGTAGACGTTGGGTTATACTTCCATTGTCACCTCGCATTTTTAAATCTGCTACCCAAACAAAGGCATTTTTTGTGTTTTCAGGTGGATGTTGGGTTATACCTCCATTGTCACCTCGTATTTTTAAATCTATGTATGTATTACAGATTCTGAAGAAAAGTATTTTGAAGGCAGTTTCCAACAATAAGAAATGGTTTTAGCAGATATTTACAGCTTTATCAAAAGTAACGGTAAGTATTATTCTTCAATGCATAATTAAGTTATTATTTATTTACATCAGGCAAAAGCTTGCTTAAAAAATTTAGTGAAATTTATGCTCTTCAGTTCATTTATTTTTCCGTTGTTTAATTTATATTATTTTTCTTTTTAGAAAACTTACTAGAAACTAAACATTTAGTTAAACATCCTATATACGGAGTTTATATAATAATCACATACCTATTTCTGGTGAAACTGATTATTCCGAAGATAATGAAAGAAAGAAAACCTTATGACATGAGATGGGTTGTAGTAACATACAATTTACTGCTATCTATTTTGAATGGAATTATAGCCTTTTATGTAAGAGCTTATTTTGATTTTATTTTCAATCGTTTTACAACAATGTAGTTCTTCGATAAAGAAAATAATCGCGTTGTTTCAGATAATTTATTTTTTAAACTATCAATTCGGTGATGTCATCCCATGCTCATTTTCCTTGAGCTATTCCTGACGTAATGAATCAAAAATAAATATTTCTTTTAGAGCGTGAAATAAAATGTGATTTTTTTTCTTTCTTTTTTTTTTGGCTGAAAACTGAAAAAAAAACTTTACTGGTATCATCATTTAAAGTAATTAAAATAAAAACACCTTCAGTTTAAATAATAACAATGCCCGATCAATCCTAAATCTATGTGAAAAAACTAATTTTCGTACGTGCTTTTCGAATAGACTGAACGAAATTTTGAAAAGACGTGTCGGATTGATGACTGAAATTGTCTCTATTCAAAATTACAGGACACTAGGACAAATTGTTTTGGATTATGAACGAGAGACACACATACGCATGAACTCTGGTTTTTATGATAGATGTACATTATATTTTGTAAAAAAATACATTTAAGTAACTTTAATTTATAATGATTTTTTTCTTGCTTAGAATGCACCATTTTTTTGTTTTTTTTTGCTTAGAATATTTCCCCCCACCAAGATTTTTCAAATTATCTACAGTACAATTAAAAGCTTTATTGGCTCCCCATTTTCATAAAAGTTACAAGTGAATAAACGCGACTCATATATATAAATGAAATATGAATTCTGAGAATAAAGTTTTCAATTTTCTAAGTTTTTGATTCAGTTATTAAAATTGTCTACATTCCAGAATATCAAGTATCTTGTAGCTACATGGAAAGTAAGATGTGAGATGAGAGCTTCCAAAGAAATCTACGATCATTACATACAAGTAAATTTCTCTTTTTACATTTCTCCACTCAAAAAAAAAACATACTTTTGGTACAAGGCATTCCATCTAGTATAAAGCATAGTCATCGAAAGGTTGGCTGCTAAAGTGAGTGACAGAATATTTTGGAAATTTTATCATGATATTTTGGAGAATGTCACAAAAAACACGCACTCTTACAAAACTTTAAGGTGTTTTTGAGGTTGTTTTGAGGTGCTATAAATTAGTTGAGGTTTATTTGAAATTNAAGTACGTTTTTGTGTCTGATTTCGTAACTTAATTAATAGTTAGCACTAATTAATTAGCATATTTGAGGTCACCCCCCGGAACCATTAAGATTGACACTTAGTTCGCGAAAATCCGATCATTAGAACGAAAGTTATTCAGGGTGATATCTTTTTTTTTTGCGGACTGTACATTATATTTTGTAAAAAAATAAATTTAAGTAACTTTAATTTCTAATGATTTTTTTTCTTGCTTAGAATGCACCATTTTTTTATTTTTTTTGCTTAGAATATTTCCCCCCACCAAGATTTTTCAAATTATCAACAGTACAATTAAAAGCTTTATTGGCTCCCCATTTTCATAAAAGTTACAAGTGAATAAACGCGACTCATATATATAAATGAAATATGAATTCTGAGAATAAAGTATTCAATTTTCTAAGTTTTCGATTCAGTTATTAAAATTGTTTACATTTCAGATTATCAAGTATCTTGTAGCTTCATGGAAAGTAAGATGTGAGATGAGAGCTTCCAAAGAAATCTACGATCATTATATACAAGTAAATTTCTGTTTTTTCATTTCTCCACCCAAAAAAAAAACATACTTTTGATACAAGGCATTCCATCTAGTATAAAGCATAGTCATCGAAAGGTTGGCTGCTAAAGTGAGTGACAGAATATTTTGGAAATTTTATCATGATATTTTGGAGAATGTCACAAAAAACACTTACTCTTACAAAAATTTAAGGTGTTTTTGAGGTTGTTTTGAGGTGCTATAAATTAGTTGAGGTTTATTTGAAATTGAATTCAAAAACAACCTAATAAAATCATTATCCCAAGATTTATAATCTAGGTGTATGAAATTTTTTGTTCACGCTTGAGGTTGTTTGAGAGTGATAGAAATCTACCTCAGAGCAATCAACTTATGATGTTTTTTTGTTTATTTTTTTACACTTCTGGCAAATAAATATATTTGAGGTGTGAATAATTTCATTCAATTTTAACTAAAAGTGTTATTGAGATTTATAGGAGATTAATATCACAAGGTGTAACTGATGTTGATTTTACGAGGTTAAAATTGCAGTTCACTGATGAGACAATTTTTCTTGCCAATCCAATTCTCGTTTTCTACGTTAGGAGAATTTTTCACAAATGTCATCTTAAAAATAGCCTCAAAAACGCACTATTTTTGTAAGTGTATTCAGCGAAATTTACTTTTAAGTTTTGTATTTTTTACTAAAAGAAGAACTAGAATTTCCAATAAATTGTTACCACAAACAAACGGTTAAATTACCAAATGACTGGTTTAAATGTTGTATACTTAATTTCATCACCGGAATTATGGTTGCTTTTGCCAGAAACGTCTTCACCAAACAATAATATATAATATAATTATAATTTTCCAAGAACTTTTTTTCTGTGTACTTGATTCAAAATAATATTTTAAACTTTTTTTTTCTCGACAGTTAGTTCATTGCACTTGGTATGCATGGTTAACGAAATACCTGGAACTTCTGGATACGGTATGAACAAACTTTTTACTTATATTTATTTAAAGCATCTTCTACATGTATATAACAGATTGTTATTTATTTTAAATCATTTTCTCTACAATCAACATTTCAAATACTTACGCTATTGCAAGAATACAACTTGTTTTCAACAAAGACTCAACCAATTATTTATAGTCAATAGCTCAAAATCTTATGCATAGAACTTTGAGAACTTTTCGTAGTTTTACTCATAGAACATTGATAGAACTTTTACGGCATAAAACCAATCATTATAATAATTTACGAAATTAGAAACACAAATCACACAGAAAACGGAGAATATTTAATGTTAGGAACATTTTCGAATTTTCCTAACTAACATTCAATTCTAATGGCTCAAGAAATTTGAATTAACAAATTTATTGCGATCAATGCACAAGATAATCATTTTTGTGATCAAATCGTAATACTGTTTTCAATTTAATAATTATTACCAATTTAATTCACAATAATTATAAGAATAAATTTTTTACAAGCATAAGTGTTTGATGCGAGGAAAATAAAATAACAACAGTTAATATTGAACAATCAATTGAAATTGATTTTTTTTTTCGTATTAGTTGTTAATAAGAAAAAAAGTGCATATACAATTAAGTTTACAAAATGTTTTCAATGTGAAACTTTTTTTTATACATTTGAGGATAAAATTTCAAACTTGTCAAACTCAACTACACGGAAGTGACGTAAAGTACTTTTTATACAGTTGAGGATAAAATAACAAATTTGGCAAACTCAGCTAAATGGGAGAGGCGTACAGCGCACATGGGGAAAAGAACAAAATATCAAGTTTTCCCGACTAACTTGCTATCTTTAGGACTCAGAAATTTTATTTAACTGGCGATGAAGATATTTTAAGTTACGAAATGAGACAATATATACTTTTTCTGAAGAGACATTTTCTAACGGATTTGTGTCATTTCTGCGTTTAAGTTTTTGTATTTAACGCATTGCTCAAATAAATATGGATGTTAGTTAAATTTTTCAAATAAATAAACATCTAAATTCAGGTTTTGTTAAACATAATAAAAAATATCCAGTTTCCTAAGTAAAAGTTGTTTATAGAACAGTTACATTTTTTAACAGGAGGCAGCTTTACATAATTTCGTGAATTGACCTCCATAAATTAGATTTGTTAAAAATAAATTTACGTTTTATAAATGTAATACATATCGGGATTAGATACTTTAAGCTTTATTAATAAATTCTATTTTAGCTCATTAAAATAAAAATTATCAGATTTAATGTAACATTGATCATTTTTCAGATATTCTTTGCATTACGAAAGAAAGATAATCAAATCTCTTTGCTTCATTTGTTCCACCATTCGTTTATAGTTCTTGTATGGTTATATCAGTATCATCAACCATATGTCCGTAAGTTATATAAATTTTTTATAATACTTAATACAATAAACTAAAAAAGCCTTATGAAATTATAATTAAGGGTATAATCAAAGTTATTTTGTTTAGACCTACGTAGATTTTTTGTTGGATGACGGATGTTGATGTGCTTTATATGGATCAGGGAAAAAAATATATCTGGAAAAATTAAGTTCAAATTTCTACCACCATGTGAGAATTAGGCACGCATAAAGTATAAAAATACCAACTAGATTTGAAAAAATTAATTCAATCATAACACATGTTTAATGCGCACTCCATTTCCATCAAACAAATTTTTAAAAGATTTATAACGAGTTCAACACGAATGGTTTTCGATCAATTGCAGCAATATCGTGCTATTGCACCACATTTCAATACGCATTATCCATCTTCTCCATCTCATTACACCTATGATTCTCCTCCAATTCAAATTTATTAATCAGTTCTGTCTTTTTTCAAGAAAAAAATTCCAATTGCTAAAACATTATAAAAATCGTAAGTCGTATTCAGAATCTGTAGGCATTCTGTAGATTGCACAAAAAGAAAATTGTATTTTTAAACGTTAAAGTTTGAAAAAATTGATTATTGTAATACGAATAAAAACAGCATAAAAAATTTAATTCTTCCTTCTAATATCTTCCCTTCACATATCGTTCTAGAAATTAATTAAAACTTGCAAAATTATATTTTTTATAAGAAAAAATTGAGTTATCTAAAACTTTTGAAATAAACTCATTTTAATTTTTAATACTTGTTTGATGTTTTGAATATCCTAAATAAGTTAAATTTTTTTTCTTCTAATTAGCGAACTTAAAAAAAAAATTTGATTTGATAATCGAATCTTCACGTTCTAGGACTCAATCTTAATGGTTTGAGAAAGTGATCTCAAATATGCTAGATAGTAAGAGCAGACGAAACTTTAAGTTTCGAAATCAGACATAAAAACGTACTTTCTCTGAATAAACAAGCCTTTTTTACGACGAATTCGGATTTCTTACCCCCAAAATATAGGGCGATATAGCCGTAATTCAGAAAATATGGTCCCAATAGTTTGGTGATGAGAGCTCTCCGAAATTTAGACCAATTAATGTTACTTTTAGTTTTTTTCGTATTTTGCTATATCTCGAGAACATTTTAAGAGAATTAAAAATAATTTGTATACAATTATGCAGCCCACTTCTGCAAGGATAATTCCATGCAAAAACTAACTTCTAGTAAATTTCAATATTTTTAATTAGTTTATTTAATAATTATCTAAAAAATTTTGAATTGTAAGGTATAGAAATTTTAAATCATTTTAAGGAATGTAATTTTAATTGGAAAATGCCAAAATTGAGTAAGACTAATAGTAACCGACCTACCCCCGAGGGAGTTTGCGGATAAGTGTTTCACCCGTTGTCACGTGAACTAAACACAAGAGAACTACAGAAAAGTAAAATCAAAACTAAAAAGATTAATACACATGGGAAAAATCCCAAAATCGAAAAGATGATAAAAATAAAATAGAATAAAAATTAAAAGTGCTTAAAACATTTTTTTTTTAAATTTCCAATGGCAGGCCAATTTAAAAGAACAAAAAGGATAAAATAACAAGAAAAACAAGACAAAAAGAGATAAATGGAATTGAATGCATAGTGACATGCTTAGCCCATACGGGCCCTAGCCTCCCAGTAGCGTCCAGACACAGTAGTGGAGATGAGCGCAGGACAGACGGAAATATGGGGCAAGTCCATGTCCTCCCCAAGGCGACAGAGCTTGCATTTAGGAGAGTCAAAAATGTTTATGCTAAAAAGGTGTTTGGCCAGACAGTCATGGCCCGTTACAAGTCTAAAGAGAGCGACTGCCGTAAACCTGGGCTGATTTGGGATAGTTAAAATATGGTTGAACCAGGTTTTGTGTATATTGCTTGTACGGAAATTCTCTGAGAGCATGTTCCGGAATTGGTTTCGGACCAGCAATTTAAATGAGTGCAGAGAGATGGAGCAACGAGATGCTTGGGCAATAGTTGTTCCTTTCTTGGCCAAGAAATCAGCTTTTTCATTACCCCAAATCCCGCAATGTCCCGGGATCCATTGGAGGACGATTTGCTTGCCTTTCAGTGTCAGGTCTTTCAGACAATCAATGCATTTCTGAATGGAGATGGATTGGGGAATCAGTGGAGAGTTAATATCAAGAAGTGCTGCTTTAGAGTCAGATAAGATGACGGCGCTAGAAAATTGGTCAGTACGACACTGTAGTTGTTTTAGGGCAATTAGAATAGCCTCGATTTCACCGTCGTAGGCAGATGCATAGCAGCCAACAGAAGCGTAGGCAGAGAACAGGTGACAAAATAACTAAGCTTAAAACATCTAAATGAATAAAATTAACTAACATTGAAAGTGTCAAAAATACGGGTAAAAACATATAAAAGTAAGGTCAGGTAAAACATCAAAGGGTAAAAATATGAAAAATCACATTAAATACAAATAAGACTAAAATAAGAATAGAATAATTAAAATAGTCGACTAAAAGTTCAAGTGTCCCCCATTCAAGGTTAAGTGCCTCTAAGATTAAAAATTTTCTAAGGAAAACCAAAGTTTCTCTAAAATGGATAAACACTCAAAGATGACACCAGGTAAGACAGAGGGTGCTGAAGTTCATCAAGATCAAGATTTCAAATTCGAATGTCCTATGTATGTATAATGAAGGTGTCAGTTCAAGGGGAGAACAAAGTCAAGGAAACGGAAAGTGCCGAGGTAAAATACTAAAAGCAAATATTAAAACCAGTAAACCAAAAGTTTAAAAAATAAAACCAGAGTAATAAAAATGGAGTAAAATGAGTTGAATAGTTCCTGAGAAATTGAATTTTAGAAAAAGTCAGAAACATTTGACCAATTTCATTCAAATTTTGCTTTGTGCCATATAAAATTACATTCCTTAAAATGATTTAAAAAAATGTGAACCTTACAATTCGTTATATTTTGGACCATTATGAAATAAAATAATTAAAAATAATAAATATTTACTTAAAGTTATTTTTTTAATGGAATTTCATTTGGATAAACGAACATCATAACTGTGTGCAAAAATTTTTCAATTCGTTTCAAAAGTGCTCTAGATTTAGCAAAATACCCAATAAATAAAAATAACATTAAGGGGTCAAATTTTGGAGAGCTCTTCTGACCAACTATTGGGACCATATTTCCGAGATTGCGGTTGCCCCTATATTATAGGGGTCAGAGAAATCCGAATTCGTAGGGAAAAAAAGGTATGTTTATTTATAGAAAGTGTGTTTTTGTGTCTAATATCATAACTTAAAATGTTGTCTGCACCTATTAATTAGCATAGTTGAGATCCCCTCCTCGAACCATGAAGATTGACTCCTNGTTGCCCCTATATTATAGGGGTCAGAGAAATCTGAATTCGTTGGGAAAAAAAGGTATGTTTATTTATAGAAAGTGTGTTTTTGTGTCTAATATCATAACTTAAAATGTTGTCCGCACCTATTAATTAGCATAGTTGAGATCACCTCCTCGAGCATAAAGATTGACTCCTAGAATGTGAAAATCCAATGATTAAATCAAACATTGTACAAGGTGGTTTTTTTTTTTGTAACTCTGAACAACATACTGAAATTGTGCATCAATATCATACATAAAATCAAAATAATGATTTCTCGTATTTTTGATAACGGCATATCAAGAATACGAGAAATCATCAATTGTTGGAATCGTGGGCATGAATTTAATTTCGACAATGCCAAAATTATTTCCAGTTACAACAGCTCATCTTGACGCCCTGGAATTTTGTTTTATTCATATGAACTCTGATTCCCTTTTTAACGAAAGCTCCTCACCAATTCTCCATGGCACGTGCTAAAGCATTTTACTCTGATTTCCCCCTCTCGGTCACTGCGATTTTTCGCGTTGCGTTCTGCTTTTCATCTTTTTTCCCCCTCGGCTATTGAGACTTTNGCTCATCTTGACGCCCTGGAATTTTGTTTTATTCATATGAACTCTGATTCCCATTTTAACGAAAGCTCCTCACCAATTCTCCATGGCACGTGCAAAAGCATTTTACTCTGATTCCCCCCTCTCGGTCACTGCGATTTTTCGCGTTGCGTTCTGCTTTTCATCTTTTTTCCCCCTCGGCTATTGAGACTTTTTCTGGTTTTTTTTTCTCTCCTTTATTTTTCCTTTTTTGACAACTTTACTTTTTATTTTATTTCAAATCACTTTTGTTTCTTCTCATTCGCACCTGATAAGTCTTGAAAATGGGTGCCTATCTTTGAGCACTTGAAACATATCGAATGTTGTTTTCAATTGGCAATTTTTTGTTGTTGCAGTGAATGAAGCTTTCAATCATGTTGGTGTTTATTTTTGTTTTGAAATCAAATTTCTCTTGAAATTTTCAAAACCCCATGTTGTTTCATTAAATAGTTTAAGAATTGCAACAGTGAGAAGCATATGTTCGGTGAAAATATCCTGAAATAGTGGTTACGGTGGCAATAATATTTTTTTTAATTGAGACGAAAAAATATTTCAACAAATTAAAAGTTCAACTTTTGTGTTGCTCACGCAGTAGTAGAAATGTTTATGCACTTAAAAATTAAGAAAAGTTTCTGCAGTATGTAATTACAATTGATAATTTTAGTAATTATTTTTTTTAACTTTCTGACAGCGCTCATCTATATTAGTAACTAAACTGTATTCACTGTTACACTTTTTGAATTTTTCCTTATCATAAAATCTGGTCTTGTCTAGTGAAACTAGCTCTTTTGTATTCGGAAACAAGAGCTCCATTAAAAATGATTAAAAAATAGGCTTTTTAATAACGAGGAGCGGATTAGATTTGTTAAAGAAAATTGTGGAATGGATTTCTGAAACATTGTATTTATCATCGCTATTTAAAAAAGTTAAATAAAGTTGGAATCTTGACTAATTTTATTTGTTTATTCTCAAAAAAAAAAGTTGTTGTTGTTGATTTACGTCGCACTAGAGCTGCACAATGGGCTATTGGCGACGGTCTGGGAAACATCCCTGATGATGAGCTTCTCACGAATCC